GGTCCTCCGGCCTCGGGGTGGCGCTCTGAGACCCGGGCTGCAGGCCCTGTCCTCTGCCCCTCGGTGTCTACGGCCCAGGCCGGTGTCTGAGGGGCCTCGGGCTCGATTACTCTGGTGGGGAGAGGCTGCAATGGCGGCGGCGGCGGCGCCTCAACAGCAGCAACAACCGGCGGGCGGCCTGAGCCTGGAGCAGGCGAAAGGTGAGAGAGGGACGCCTGGGGGATTTGGAGGAGGCCTGGGGGTTTGGAGGAGGCCTGGGGATTGGAGGAGGCCGGTGCTGGAGGGTTTAAGATGTAGGGAGAGGATGAATATTTTCCCTGGAGCATCAGAGGCAGAGGGGTGACCTTATAGAGGTTTACGAGGGGCGTGGATAGGGTGAATAGACAAGGTTTTTTCCCCAGCAGTTATACATTGCTATTTCATAATTTCCCCAGGGTAGGGGGAGTCCAAAACTAGAGGGGCATAGATTTAAGGTGAGAGGGTAAAGATATAAAGCGGACCTGAGGGGCAACATTTTCACACAGAGGGTGGTGCGTGTATGGAATGAGCTGGCAGAGGAAGTGGTGGAGGCTGGTACAATTACAACATGTAAAAGGCATCTGGAAGGGTACATGAATAGGAAAGGTTTAGAGGGATAAGGGCCAAATGCTGGCAAGTGGGACTAGATTTATTTAGGATATCTGGTCAGCATGGACGTGTTGGACCGAAGGGTCTGTTTTCGTGCTGTATAGCCCTATGACTGTATTTCTAGTTGATGTGCCTTAGGTAGTCTTAGCATCAGCCGTGCTCGCTGTAACACTGACACTGATTCACCCCTCTCCCTCCCTCTCTCCCTCCCTCTCTGTGCCGCCTTTCCTCAGTGGTGTTGGGCGAAGTGATCAAGGCTTTCAGTTCCCCTGAGAATGCCATGAGGATGGAGGAGGCTCGTGACAACGCCTGTAACGACATGGGCAAGATGCTACAGTTTGTGCTGCCCGTGGCCACCCAGATCCAGCAGGACGTTATCAAATCGTACGGCTTCAGTAACGATGGAGAAGGCAAGTCCGCAAGCTGTGGAAATCCAATCAGAGCCTCACTCCAGGATGGGGACATCCCATGTGGGGAGATTATGCTTTAGTTATAGAGGGTACTGGTAAGACCACATCTGGAGAACTGTGTACAGTATTGATAGTAAGAACTGCCAGTTCTGGAGTAGAGATAACACAGTGTGCAGCTGGAGGAACACAGCAGGCCAGGCAGCATCAGAGGAGCAGGAAAGTTGACGTTTCGAGTTGGATTTCTGAAGAAGGGTCCCGACCCAAAACGTCAACTTTCCTGCTCCTCTGATGCTGCCTGGCCTGCTGTGTTCCTCCAGCTCCATGCTGTGTACAGTATTGGTCTCCTTATGTAAGCAAATGGTTCAGAGATGGTTTACTGGACTAAGATGTAATGGATGGGTTTTGATATGAGGAAAGGTTGGAGCGGCTGGGCTTATACTGCTGGAGTTCAGATGACTGAGAAATGATTTGCTTTAGATATATAAGGTCCTGATGATCTTTATATTGTAGATGTGGAGAGAATGTTTCCTTTTGTGGTAGAGTATAGAGGTGGGGTCACTAGTTTAAAAAAAACCAGTGGTCGCTCTTTTTAACCAGATAAGGCAAATATTCTTCTCAGTGGGCCATGAGTCTTTGGCACTTTCTTCCTGAAAGGTTGGTAGAGAAGACTATTTTTCAGGGAACTCTAGATAGATTCTTTTTGAGGGGTAGGCAGGAATGTGGACTTCAGATTACAGACAGGGCAGCCATGATCTTTCAGGAATGGCCTTGCTGTTGTTCTCGTGGACCCTACTGTCCTGTGATGCAGACTGCCCTCACTGCTGCAGACCTCTGACTCCGTGTGGAGCCTTCCCCACTCTGCACTAGCTCCCTTCATGTAAGGGACCTTGGAACCACCCCTCCAACCTGGAGCTTTCCCTCCATGGTGGAGCCCACCAACACAGCCTTCCACCTGGGTGTCTCCTCCTCTGGTTAAGCCTTAGGCGGATTGTGAGGTATGAGCCCTGTGGTAAGTTTTAATGGGACAAAGGATTCAGCCTCGAACACAAGTGGACTGGCAGTAATCGATTCGCCTCTTACCATGTTCCAAAGGATCCTTGGGTTTATAAATAGAAGTTTAGAGAATAAAAGCAACAAAGTGATGCTACATTTCGACAAATCATTGCTTAGACCACATTTGGAGTATTGTGTTCAGTTCTGGGCACCTTATTTAAGGAAGGATTTTAAAGTCCTAGAGAGAGTGCAAAGGAGATTTACTAAAAAGACACCAGGAATGTGAGATTTTAGAGACAAGGAAAGATTTGAGAAACTGGGCTTTTTCTCCTTAGAGCAGAGAAGATTCAGATGTGATCTCATTGAGATGTTCAAAATTATGACAATTTTGACAGGGGAAAGCACTTCTAGTTGGTGTGTCAGTTACTAGGGATCGCAACTTCACGATTGTCAGCCAGAGAGCCAGGAGTCAGCTAAGGAGAAACTATTTCACTCGGAGTTGTTAGGATTTGGAATGCGCTGTTTGGGAGAGTGATGGTGGCTGGTTCCATAGAAGGTTTCAAAAGAAAGCTGGACATGCATTTGAAATTGATTAATTTAGAGGGCTATAGAAATGGGACTGGAGACCGGGACTAACTGGGTAGCTCCTTCAGGACCCGATACAGACATGATGGGCCAAATGGCCTCCTACTGTAAAATTCTCTACTTCAATTATTTGCTAAACCTTGGGCTGGGTGCAAACATCTGAGAAAAATAGGTTTTATTAATCGTTTGTGAGCATCGCTAACCAGACCAGCCTTTGTTATTGATCCCTAATTGCCCGAAGAGTTGGTGGTGAAATGCTGCAGCGAGTGTGGTGTAGGTGCCCCACAGGATATATAAGAAGGAAATTCCAGGATTTTGACTCAGTGACACTGAAGATTCAGGGATATGTTTCCAAGTCAGGGCAGTCTGTGGCTTGGAAGGGAGCTTGCAGGTGGTGGTGTCACTTAGGAATTTGGAACAGAATTAGGCCATTCAGCTCCTGAGCTTGCTCTGCCATTCATTAAGATCATGTTTGTGTTTTGAATTCCACATTCCTATCTGTGCCCAATAACCTTTTATTCCCAACCTTACACGAAGCTTTCCACCTCTGTTTTAAAAATGTTCAATGATTTCCCCCCTTCTGAGGCAGAGTGTTTCAAATTACACAGGAGTCTGGGAGAAAGAAATTCTCCCGGTCTCCATCCTGAAAGGGCAATCCCAGAATTTTAAAACAGTCCCTAATTCTGGACTGACTCACGAGCCCCACCTTGTCAAGACTCTTCAGGATTTTGTACATGTCAAGCAAGCCACCCCTCACTCTTCTAAACTCCAGTGGAAACAAGGTCAGCCTCTCCTTAAGGTAGCCTGCTCATTCCCAGGGGCAATCTCGTAAATATTCTCTGAGCTGCTTACGTTCTCCCTAAAATGAGAAGACCAATACTAACAACAAAGGAAGAAAGCTTTAATTTCCTTGGCACACTAGAATTTAGACCAACACAAGATTGGTCATGATTTCACCAATGTCGGCAAGAGAGCTAGGAGTGAGATGAGGAGAAACTTCTTTACTCGGGGAGTTGTTAGGATTTTTGAATGCACCGCCTGGGAGAGTGGTGGAGGCTGATTCCATTGGAAGTTTCAAAAGAGAGCTGGATATATATTTGAACATGATGAATTTGGAGGGCTAAGGAGATAAGGCTGGAGAATGGGACTAGCTGGGGAGCTCTTTCCAGAGCAGATACAGACACAGTGGGTCAAATAACTTCCTTCTGTACTGTAAGATTCTAAGAAGACAGTTGTACTTTAGCCTCAAAAACACTTTTTTCAAATAACTGACAAAAATACTTCTGCTCAAAAAAGCTACCATCCAAAACACACTTTTCGCAGTCTTGGTGGGGTCTTAGTTATTGCACTTCTTTGAAGATGGAGCATTTTTAACCAGGTTATTACAACCCTAACTCAACCCATGATTTACATTTAAATTAAGATGGTTTCTCATTACAGTAACATCCATTACATTATTTTAGCATCCAGTTGTTCCTGCACGTATGCAGCCTTAAGCTAGAGATTCAACATTAATTTTCCAGCAACTCATTATCAGTTGAGTTGCTCCCAGTGAGTATTCCTTTGTTGAGAAGTTTAAGACTCTTCTGTCTCCTTTGAAACTTCCCTCTATCCACTACTGTTGAAGCCTCATTCTTCCTCTGCTACCCCTGGGAGTTTTGACCCCTGGCAAACCCCTTGGAATTCCAGCAATAGCATGATAAGGTGCCTTGCCAGCAGCTGCTCCTCCAATCACAGGCCGGTTCTGTGCCATGCTCACTGCTAATAGGTTTGCAAGCAAGCCTATCAGCAGCCAGTGTAGGTGAGACCCAACCAGTGGCTGGGGCACTGTGAGAGAGAGAGACAGGGTTTATGACTGAGGAATAAGCTTCCCACGTCCTCTGTCTCTCTCACACATACAAGATTGACCTTTCCCTGATTGATCGCCCCATTCACCGACTTTTCCCAGGCATTTTGGTAGCCTATGGGAATTCACCTGCTTCCCCTTCCTCATCATATGTACTCTGAGTGATAATTCATCGCCTTTTCCTGGTGAGAGAGTAACACATCACTCTTATAACTTTGTGTAAACAGTTGCCTCTAGATGTCACCCCAAACTGCCCAGTTCTACATAGAGATCAAGCCCCGCCCTTGGTCTGGGCACCCCCACACCCCACCCTCACCCGGGCTAGTAGTGCCTCTTGATCTGCCATAAAGAATCTGTTCAGCATGATTGAATCACCCTTTGGAGGATCTGACTTTGTCCCTGTTCTCCTGATTTGACCCTTTAAGCTGCTACAAAGAGCCTATCATGCTTGAATCACATGAGCCTTAACTCACAGAGTGTCAGGATATGAGACAAGCATACAGACCTGAGGCCTGTTTTGCCCTACCAAATGATCCTGGCTGATCATCTGTCTTAATTCCACTCTCCTGCCCACTCCCCACATCCCTTTATTCCCTCAGAATATCTGCCTGCTTCAGACTTAAATTTACTCAATGATGGGGCATCCACAATCCTCTAGGGTAGAGAATTCCAAAGATTCACAACCCTCTGAGCAATGAGATTTCTCTTCACCTTAGGACAAAATGCTCGAAATCGCCCACCCCCTCACAATCCCGAACCCCAGCCCATAACTTCCTCAGTGAGTGAAACTACCTCTGTGTCTACGTTGACAAGGCCTCTTCAGAATCTTGAATTTTTCATCAAAAAGGAGCAGAAGTAGGCCACTTGCCCCATCGTGTGCTCCCCATTCGGTGAGATTGTGTTTGATCTGATAAGCTTCAGCTTCCCAGCGTTTCATTGAGGTCACCTCTCATTCTTCCAAACTCTCTACAGTATGTGCCCGTTTGATTCAACCTCTCGTCATGGATCAACCCCGTCATCCCATGAATGATTCTAGTAATCCTGTGCAGGATCACCTCCAGTGCGAGTATATTTCAGCTTAAAACTGGAGGCAAACAGTATTCCAGGCATGGGTTCACCAAATCCCTGTACAATCATTGTAAGAAGCCCATACTCCAACTCACGATCTCCTTACCATAAAGGCTGTTTTCGTAAAATGTATGTATCATTCTATATAGGAAAGTTTTGAATGCATTGGAGACAGTGCACAGTTGATTTACAAGAATGGTTCCAGTTTTGAGAAATCTCAGCTATGAGGAGAGAGATCGGAGAAGTTGGGACTGTTCTACCTGGAGAGAGGGAGGAGTTGTGAGAGAGGTTTTCAAAACCATGAGAGGCCTGGATACACTAGATAGGAAGAAAGTGTTCTGGTTCATAAAAGGATCATGAATCAGAGAGGATCAGATTTAAAGTGATTTGCAGAAGAAGTAAATGCAAACTGAGAAAAAATATTTTTTCACAGCAAATTGTTAGGAAATGGAATGCACTTCCCGGAAGTGTGGTAGAGGCAGGCTCAATTGAGACATTCAAGAGGGCATGTAAGGATTATTGGAATAAAAGTAATGTGCAAGGGGATGGGGAGAAGGCAGGAGATTGGCACTAGGTATTGATGCTCATTGGAGGACTGGTGCAGGCATGGTGGTCCGAATGGCCGCCTGAGCTCTAACACTGCTGTTATGCTGAAGTAAAATACTATAGATGCTGGAAATCTGATGTAAGAAATAGGCACTGCGCAAACTCAGGCAGGTCTGGGAGCAGATATTTCGAGTCAGATGTGACTCTTCTTTGGAAATGCATTTTTGCGGCTCCCTGGTTTTCTGCTGTTGCAAGGTGACTCGCTGTTATAAACCTGTTTGCAGCTCCTCCATGATTCGCCTGTGTCTCCTTTTGTCTTTTAAAGGGGTGCTGAAGTTTGCTCGTATCATCAAGACCTACGAAGGTCAGGACCCTGAGATAGCGGCTATGTCCTCCAAGCTGAAGTCCATGTTTCTGCCTCCGATGATGGTCCCCCCGCACAGCAGTGGTATCTCCACGTCGTAGCTTTCCTGAGAAAGAGAGGGGTGGAGAGGGCGCTGGATCTCTGGGTCCAGATGGTGCCTTTATTTTAGAAAAGAATTGTTTTTTTCCAGCGCCACCGAACAATCACTGACTCTGGTGTGTTCAGAACATTTCTCTTCCACATCCCCTCCACACCTACCTATCGCATACCCCCAGGCTGCTTGTGTTCCTGCCTGCCACTCTGAGCATCTGCCTCCTTTGTACCTTCGGAGGAAGTGCCAACACACTGAGGAGGGCATTGTGCCCTACAGGTGGAGCACTCCGTGACTGAGGGCACGGGAGCTAGGCAGGGTGAGCTGACGGGTATCAGTCTGCCTGGCTCCCCCCCCCCCCCCACCAACAAAAAAAACCCACCAGCCGGCTTGGTTCCTCTTTTTGTCAGTAACTAAGGATGTGGTTCAGCTGTTATACGGCACCTCCCCCTCCCACAATAGGGCATGTGAATTTATTCAAACTCGTAAGGCAGAGCTGCCGGGGGAAAGGAGGAACACATCGAGCCTGCCTGGCGCTGGAACGGCGTCAGGTCAGATTCATAGCGGCTCCAGGACTGAGTGGAGATATCCAGCTGTCCTCACGGACACTCAGCCACGGCTCTGCTGGCCTCTGGTTTATTCCGCAATTGTACGGGACTGTGGGTTGTGGGGGGTGTGGGGAGGAGGTGTACCACAAAACCCGCATTGTTCTTATCTGCCACCCACTGCCTGCATCACGTCCCTTCTTGACTGACACAAATAAATACACAGAGACACACACACACACACACACAGAATAAACACACACACACACAGACATAAACACAGACACAAACACACAGACATAAACACAGACACACACACAAACACACTGACATAAACACACACTGACATAAACACAGACACACACAAACACACTGACATAAACACACACACACAAACACACTGACATAAACACAGACACACGCATAAACACAAACACACTGACATAAACACAAACACACTGACATAAACACACACACAAACACACTGACATAAACACAGACACACACACAAACACACTGACATAAACACACACACACACACAAACACACTGACATAAACACAGACACACGCACAAACACACTGACATAAACACAGACACACGCACAAACACACTGACATAAACACACACGCACAAACACACTGACATAAACACAGACACACACAAACACACTGACATAAACACACACACACACAAACACACTGACATAAACACACACACACAGACATAAACACACACACAAACATAAACACAGACACACACAAACACACTGACATAAACACAGACACACACACAGACATAAACACACACACAAACACACAGACATAAACACAGACACACACAAACACTGACATAAACACAGACACACGCACAAACACACTGACATAAACACACACACGCACAATCACACTGACATAAACACACACGCACAAACACACTGACATAAACACACACACAAACACACTGACATAAACACACACACAGTTTCCATTCGAGACTCTCAATCTGATAGCCTCGGCTGTAAACTCACCACAAGCGTAGGAAGAAAAGGCGCCGTGCGGTTGAATTGAAACAGGACTGCCTATATTTACGAGGCTTTGGTTTTGTTTTCAATTTGCATTTTGAAGAACTCTAAGGAAATAGAAACACAGAACGCACTGGGGCAGTGTTTCACCTCTGCATGTTCAAAGGCAGTTCCCTCTTCATCCTAGCCACTGACCACAAACAGACTTCCTGTCTTTAACACTGTGAGACCTAACTGCAGTAACAGGACAAGTTTAAAAATACTTAATGCCGCCCTCTATGGAATGGACAGCAGTAAAACAGGAGTGATTTAACATCATTCCTTACTGTGATTTCTAGTGAGGGACAGCTGTTTAACCAGCTGCACCGTCAGAGACAGGAAGGACTGCATTTCTGTCGTGGCTACTGGGCCCTCTGAGGCGACTTTGCAACTGGTGACATTTTTTGTTTAATTTGAAGCATAGCTGTTGTTGTAATGCAAGAACCAGTTTTCACACGGCAAGTTCTCACAGTTACGGAAATGGTCAGATCACCTGTTTTGTGTTAAACTGATGCTGGGGAATGATTGTTGACCAGGACACAAGATAGCATGGAAATCGTATCCCACGAGATTTTTCCACTTCACCAACTGTGAAACGGCGACCTTTCAACAGTGTGTACCCCTGTCGATAAAGCAGTGGCACACAAAGGGAGTTAGTTAAGATGGCATGACCGTGAGGTAGGTTGGAGAGGAGGGAGGAGCTGCTAACGCCTGACATTCAGGGATCTCACAGCAATGCATTGGGGTGGACAGCCTTAAAACTGGCAGTGAGCAGCGCCATGTCTGATATGCATTCGGCAACACTGGAGAAAGATTCTGCAGAAAAACACATCTCACTTCAAACAAACGGCAGGGCGGCTTTCAAAGCAAATAAAACTGCTGGACTACTGAGCTTATCCTGTTTATCCGCTGGTTGGTGGTGGGGTGGGGCACAATTTTATCCTAAACTGTCTGACAGCAGGCTGGGTGGTGGTTAGAGGAGTGTGAGCGTTGACAGGGTTAAGCGTTGGTTTTACATCTGCATTCCCTGGGTGTTTTTTCTTCCACCTTGAACTGTGGATTACACCAGGCGGTGACTTTTCAGTGACCGAGGGTTTAATACAGCAGCTCTGTCCGACCCCTGTCATCGAGCAGGATTTGGCGCCGGGTCCCTTCAAGTGGCTGTTCCGTGAGTTTAAAAAGAAAAGTGTGTCGCTGGATACACGGTATAAAAAGGAGGTCTTTCAGCCTGGCTGGTCCATGTCCTCCCTTCTCTCCTCATCTCAATCAACCATCGTTATCCTCTGGTCTTTCTCCCTGAAAAGCTGCTCCAACTTCCCCTCAAATGCATCTCTTTATGGGAGCAGGTTCCACAATGTTGCCGTCCTTGTCAATGGCCCCTTTTGAACTCATTCGACCCTGCAGTGGCTGGGCTGTTTGTGACTGGGAGCGAGGTGACTAGGATCTGCTACATTTAAAATGGAAGGTGAATATTTCTCTCCATTTAAGATGGAGGGGGATAGGAGGTGCTTTTGTTAACTCTAGTTTTTTTTTCAAAATACAGTCACCAGACATTGCAGAACGTGTGGGGGAGTTTACAAATTGCCTGAGCCTGGAAAGGCTGGGTTGAAAGATGTACATGATGTGACTTGCCTTGATCATGAGCTCCTGCGATTGACGGTACTATTCAAAGACTTATTGCTCCTGTCTCTTGACATACACTCTGCATTTTCTTTTATTAATACATGTGTTTTTGAATACCTTGTCATGTGCTGGACAGTTTCATATCATGTGCAACAAAATTGAAATAAATGTAATAAGTTTACTTGATGTCAGTCGTGTTAGTCGCATTGTTCCTCTATGTGCTCTGCTCAAACTGGCTTGTTTTTTTGAGTAAAATAAGCATTCCACGTTTCTTGCAAAGTCAAAATTCTTAATTGCCTAGGGGTTCTTGAATTTGTGCAGATGCATACACAACCACAGTGCTGCTTGGGAGTTCTGGGATGTTGACCAACAATGAAGGAATGGCCATACATGTCCCAAGTCAGGATGTGTGAGGCTTGGAGGGGAACTTGCATACGTGCTGATATTCCCATGCATGTGCTGCCCTTGCCCTTCTCTGTGATCAAGGATATGGATTTCGAAGGTGATCATCAGAGTGTAGACATACATCCATATCTGTGTAAGGTATGACTCCAACCAGCAGAGAGTTTTCCCCCCAATACCCATTGATTCCAGTTTTCCCAGGACTCCTTGATGCCACACTCGGTCGAATGCAGCCTTAATGTCAAGGGCCATCACTCTCACCTCACCTCTGGAATCCAGCTGTTTTGTCCGTGTTTAAACTAGGAGCTGAGTGGCCCTGGCACAACCCAAACTGGGCATCACTGAGCAGGTGCTGCTTGATAGCACTATTGCTGACACCTTCCATCACTTTACTGATGATTGAGAGTAGACTGATGGGGCGGTAACTGGCCGGGTTGAATTTGTCCTGCCTTTGTGTACAGGACATACCTGAGCAATTTTCCACATTGTCAGGAAGATGCTAGTGTTGTAACTGTACTAGAACAGCTTGGCAAGTTCTGAAGGACAAGTCTTCAGTCCTATTGCTGGAATATTGTCAGGGCCCACGGTCTTTGCAGTATTCAATACCTCCAACTGTTTCTTGACATCACATAGACTGAGGTGGCACGGTAGCTCAGTGGTTAGCACTGCTGCCTCACAGTACCAGGGACCTGAGTTCAATCCTACTGTGACTGTCTGTGTGAGGTTTGCACTTCTACCTGTGTCTGTGTGGATTTTGTCCCACGGTCCAAAGATGTGTAGGTTAGGTGGTTTGGCCATGTTAAATTGCCCTGTCGTCCAGGGATGTGTAGGCATTGTGGGGAGAGGGCAAGGAATCTGGGTGGGATGCTCTTCAGAGGATCATGTGGATTTGCTGGGCTGAATGGCCTGTTCTTGCACCATAGGGATTCTAACAATTGAATTGGCTGCAGACTGTGATGCTGGGGTTCATTGGAGAAGGCTGTGATGGATCATCGACTTGGTGCTTGTGATGATTTCTGCAAATGCTTCAGCCTTACCTTTTGCATTGATGTGCTGGGCTCTGCCATCGTTGTGGTTGGCAATAGTTGTGGAGCCTCCTCCTCCAATGAGTTAATTGTCCACCATCATTCAAGATCGGATGTGGCAGGACTGCAGAGCCTAGATCTAATCCATTCGTTGTGGGATTTCTTAGCTCTGTCTGTCTCCTGCTGCTTATGCTGGTGGCACCCTTAATCTGTTTGGTGGTTTCACCAGGTTTCCACCTCATCTTCAGATATGCCTGGTCCTGCTTTTGGCATGACCTCCTGCACTCTCCATTGAGCCCCTGGCTTGATGGTAATGGTTGAGTGGGGGATAAGCTGGCCCATAAGGTTACAGATTGTGCTGGAGTACAATTCCACTGCTGTTGATGGCCCACAGCACCTCATGGATGCCCAGTCTTGAGTTGCTAGATCTGTGCGAAGTCTGTCCCATTTAGCACGGTGATAGTGCCACACAACACGATGAGGGTTATTCTCAATGTGAAGGCGGGACTCTGTCTCCTCAAGGACTGTGCGGTGGTCACTGTTACCAATAATGTCATGACCAGCTGCACCTGCAACCGGCAGATTGATGAGGATGGGGTCAGGTATGTTTTTCCCTCTCATTGGCTCCCTCACCATCTGCTGCAGGCCCAGTCTAGCAGCCAAGTCCTTTAAGGATCAGACCAGCTCAATTTGCTGCCGAGCCACTTATGGTCGTGGACATTGAAAATTTTTCTCTCCTTTATTCGTTAGTGGGATGTGGGCATCGCTGGCTAGGCAGCATTTATTGCCTCATCCCTAATTGCCCAGAAGGCAGTTCAGAGTCAACCACATTGCTGTGGGTCTGGAATCACATGTAGGCCAGACCAGGTAAGGATGGTAGTTTCCTTCCCTAAAGGATGTTAGTTAGCCAGATTGATTTTTCCCAACAATTGACAATGGATTTGTCGTCATTGTTAGATTCTTAATTCCAGATATTTTATTGAATTCCAATTCCACCATCTGCCGTGGCAGGATTTGAACCCAGGTCCCCAGAACATTACCTGCGTCTCTGGATTAACAGTCCAGCGATAATACCACTAGGTCATCGCCTCCCTGACGCAGAGTACATTTTGCTACATTCAGTGCTTGCTCCAACTGTTGTTCAACATGGAGGAGTACCGAATCATCAGCTGAAGGAGGATGGTATGCGGTAACCAGCAGGAGGTTTCCTTGCCCATGTTTAACCTGAAAC